CCCCCGCCCCGCCGCCGCCGCCGCCGCCGCGCCCGCTGCCGGCCGTGCCCCCGCTAAAGGAGGCAGGGAGCGGGGCGGCGCGGCAGTGCGCCCCGAGCCGCGCCCGCAGCCCCGACAGCAGCCAGCGGGAACCGCGCCGGGAGAGATGCGGGGCGCCGGGGAGGAGGCAAGGGCGGCGAGCGCGGCCGCCGCGCCGCTGTGAGCCCCCGGCCGCTGGCGGGCAGCGGGATCGGCGGTACATCCGCGTAGGCGCTCGGCCGCTGCGCAGACACACGCGTACAGCCGCCGTCCGACAGCAGCGCCTCTTTCCGCTCCGGGAGCGTCCGCCGAGGCGCAGCCCCGATGCCCGGCTGGACGGCGGGGCCGCCGCTCGGGCGCGTAGCTCCCCGCTAGAGGCGGCGGCCCCCGCGGGCTGGATGCGCGTCGCCGGTGCGGGCGGCACCCCCGGGCCGGCCGCCGGGGCCCCGCGGCGCTAGGGGCCGTCCGGGCCCCCCGCCCCGGGCCGGCGGCGGCGCGGGGATGCTGGCGCTGGGGCAGATGGACGGCGCGCCCCGGCAGGGCGCCTTCCTGCTGGGCAGCCCGCCGCTGGCCGCCCTGCACAGCATGGCCGAGATGAAGGCGCCGCTCTACCCCGCGTACCCCCTGCCCGCCGGGCCCGCCTCCTCCTCCTCCGCCTCCGCCTCGCCCGCCTCCGCCTCACCCTCGCCGCCGCTCGGCTCCCCCGGCCTCAAGGCGCCCGCCGCCTCCGCCGCCGCCTCGGGCGGGCTCTCGGCGCTGGGCACGGCCCCGCCGCAGCTCTCGGCCGCCACCCCGCACGGCATCAACGACATCCTCAGCCGGCCTTCCATGCCCCTGCCGGGCGCCGCGCTCGCCTCCGCCTCGCCCTCCGCTTCCTCGGCGGCGCCCGCCGGGCTGCTGGCCGGGCTGCCCCGCTTCGGCAGCCTCAGCCCCCCGCCGCCGCCGCCACCAGCCCTCTACTTCAGCCCTGGGGCTGCCGCCGCCGCCGCCGCCGTGGCCGCCGGGCGCTACCCCAAGCCGCTGGCCGAGCTGCCCGGCCGGACGCCGATCTTCTGGCCGGGGGTGATGCAGAGCCCGCCCTGGAGGGACGCCCGCCTCGCCTGCGCCCCCCGTGAGTACCCAGCGTCGCGGGGCAGCGGGGAAGAGGGCCTGGGGATCCCCGTTAGGAGTCGGCTCCCGGCGCTGGGGAGTCCCCGCGCCCTGGCATCGCTGTGAGACCCTCCTGCCCCTCCACTCAGGGCCCGGCCGTAGCCAAGGGGGCTGTCTTTTCCTCGATTTGTTTTGTTTTCGTTTCTTAAGTTGGCTTTGGTTTCTCCATACCCTCGGTCAGAGCAAAACTCTTTAATATGTCGCCGGTTATCGCTGGCGAGGAGAGGAGCTCTCCGACGGGAAGGCGGCCGCGCTGCCGCCGTCGCTGCTGGGGCCGGGGTTGGCTTTTAGGGGCGCGCACAAACTTTCCCATTAGCAGGACTTTCTTAACGCCCGCTGGCGCAGCGGAATTTTTAGAAAAAAATATCATTTCTCCGCTCAGATTTTTGATCCGGATAGGAAAAATAATCAGGGAGAGCCGAAAGGCCAGAGCCGTCGCTTTGCTTAGGCAGTAGTTTTCTTACAACTCGCACCCCCCGCGTAGAGACCCCTCCGTCCCTTGGGGCTGCTTGAGAGTGAAGCGCTTTCCCAAATCCGTAGATTAACTTGTCTGTCCCTGCCTTCCCTTTCTCTTCCCCCTCCCTTCGCCAGATCAAGGCTCAATTTTGCTGGATAAGGACGGAAAGAGAAAACATACAAGACCCACTTTTTCTGGCCAGCAGATTTTCGCTCTGGAAAAGACTTTCGAACAGACGAAATACCTGGCGGGCCCGGAGCGAGCCCGGCTGGCCTATTCCCTGGGGATGACGGAAAGCCAAGTCAAGGTGAGAGCAGCGGCTCACGCACCGAGTGGTGCGGGGCTGGAGGAGCGGGGAACAAAAGGGCCCCACCGCGGAAACGGGTCCGTCTGAACCGGCCGGAGATGCTGCGGGCTGCCGTGGCCGAGCCCACGGGCAAACGGCGAGGGCTTCTCCGGCAGCCACCGGCACTTCTCCCCTTATTGCCAAGCCGAGAAGGTTATTTTAGAGCATTTTAAAAACCAACTAAATTGAACCAAACAAACCCAAGCAAGACTGAGAAGCCCTGAACACCACGGGGGTGGCCAGCGTGCTGGGAAAGCCGGGGAAAGGGTGATGTTGAGGTGTCGCATTGTCGCACTCGCACTCTTTCTTATGTTCTGGTTAAAAACTCCTGGGTTTTGGGCAAAGCGGAGGTGTGAGGGGTTGGGAGAGCGGGCTGAGCTCCCCGAGAACATGCAGAGGCGTTTTCTCGGCGTGCTGGGCCAGAGGGGCCCCTCGGCGGTGCTCACGCTTTCAGGCTGATCCGCAGAGCCTCTTTTGTCACTGCAAATACGTCCCGGTGACTGCGAATAAATTATTGCAGCTTCTACAATGAAAATGCCCCTCTCCTCTGGCAGCGCCCTACCGGAGACTAAATACATCTGGCGGGGCAGGGGAGCTGGGGAAGGAATCAGCCCCAAATGTGTGCGCAGGATGGCAGGGAGCGGCCCGGCCCCGATGCTGGCCCCTGGGGAGCTGGGGACGGCTGCTGGCCCACGCCGGGTGGGCCCCGCGCCCAGCCGGGTGTCGGCGGCTGCCGGGAGCGCGGTGCCGCGGGGCTCGGCCGCTTTCGTTGTGGGGACAATTCATGGAGGCACGCCGGGGATGGGGACTGGCGGGGCAGCGGGGTGGGAGCGGCCCGGTCCGGCCGCCGCCGCTGGCCATGCTGATGGTGACGGTGGCGGCGGGGGCAGGTCTGGTTCCAGAACCGACGGACCAAGTGGCGGAAGAAGCACGCGGCGGAGATGGCGACGGCAAAGAAGAAGCAGGACTCGGAGACGGAGCGGCTGAAGGGCGCCTCGGAGAACGAGGAGGAGGACGACGACTACAACAAGCCCCTGGACCCCAATTCGGACGACGAGAAGATAACGCAGCTCCTGAAGAAACACAAGCCGGGGGGAGGGGGGCTGCTGCTGCACCCCCCGGAGGGAGAGGCCTCCGTCTAGCCCGCTTCGCCCGCCGCCGCTTTCGGAGATGTACAGATCTATTTTTCTAGACTCTACGCGCCCGGGAGGAGGAAGAGGAGGAGACGCCGGAGGGGGAGCAGAGAGGACTGCGGGCAGCGGGCCCCGGCGGGCGCGGCCGGTCCCCGGCGCCGCGTGTTGTTGTAGGGTGGCGGGCGGAGGGGAGCGGCGGGGGCTGCCCCGACCCCCGGCCCCGCTCCCGGCCGCGCGGCGGCCGCGTCTTTGCCGGCTCTTTGTAAATAAACCGTGAGTCACCGCGACCATAGGCGTTCCTTACTGTGAATATTTAAAATGTAAAATACCTTCTTTTTTTTTTTTTTTT